CAGTCATCAGAAGGGAAAAGAGTGTTGAAATTTCGCGTAGAAATGTAAGGCCTATTTTCTTTAAAGCCATCACGAAAGTGGCAGCTGCAAACTCTGGAGTATTTTCCTCGAGATCGGTCAGCTCGTCTACGGAAATCATGCTTTAATACCACAGGAAACACTCAAAAAATGTAAAGACGACTTGTAAACAAAAGACTTCCATATTTTCGCCAAGATGTATCTGCTATCAAAACGACCATAAATCTTACCTTAAAAGTCTTAACCAACGCTTATAATTTTCTTCCTTCTTTGTACTGCTCGAAAAGCCAAAATAACGGCAGCTATGGTTTTCTGAAGCGTGATTACAATCAGGTGCAAAGCACAGAACCATGTTGATCTTGCCGTCACAAGACCGCTTCAGTTCTGACGTTAAAATTGTCAAAAATATCCAAGAGATATCGATAATTGAATGATTATATCAACAATTACTTTCGATTGTCTATTTTATTTGCTTTTCTGACATAAGCTAGTTTTGTTTTCCGTAATTATTGGAGGTTAAGTACAAAGAGGTCACGTTAATGGCGTGCAACGTGAAACATTTGTTTAGAACAGAAAAATCTAGCACCATGGCAACGTGACGTCACACTTTGGAACTCTATAACATCCCAATCATAGTTACTATGTCCCAATCCATTGCTTCTTCAATGAATAGCTTCTTTGCTTCCATTGGTCGAATTCTAGCAAATAGAATACCGACTTCCGTCTTGAATTTAAATTCCATTTCAAAACACCCGCCTTTCCAGTTCGAATTGACTGAATTGGATCAATCATTTGTGCTTGAGCAGCTTTTGTCATTGAAGGAAAACAAAGCGATTGGTCTTGACAAAATTAGCGCGAGACTTCTTAAAATCTCAGCTCACACTATTGCCCCATCTGTTGTTAAACTTTTGAATCTTTCAATTCGCGCTAGTCAATTTCCCAAATTGTGGAAATGCGCGAAAATCACGGCATTGTTTAAGTCAGGTGACAGGACTAACCTTTCCAACTACCGCTCCATCTCAATCCTCCCTACACTAAGTAAGATTTTCCAGACAGCGGTACACTTGCAGCTGTATCACTACTTGATTACCAATAATTTATTGTCCAACAAGCAGTTTGGTTTCCGGAAGGGTCTGTCAACTACAACAACTTTGACCTCACTTGCCGATGAGGTGCTCTTAAACATAGAACAAGGAAAGCTTTGCGGGGCCGTGTTCATCGATCTAACCAAGGCATTTGACCCGGTAGACCATCAAATAATGTTATGCAAGCTATCCGAGATCGGCCTTTCTGAAAGAGCTCTTCACTGGTTCCGTTCTTACTTAACTGGTAGACAACAGCGCACCTCATGTGGAAATGAGTTATCTGAGGAACTACCAGTCGCGCATGGGGTGCCACAGGGTAGCATTTTAGGGCCTTTGTTGTTTGTGATTTACATAAATAACTTGCCAAATGTGCTTAACTTCTCCTACGCGTCACTTTATGCAGACGATACCGTGATTTATTGCTATGGTACATCCTCAAAGGAGTTTAGTGATAAGTTAAATAACGATCTACTAGGTGTGGCGAAATGGCTTCATGATCACAAACTGACTTTAAATTTGGACAAAACTAAATGCATGCTTATCGGTAGCAGAGTTAATAGTTTAATAGTCTATTAACTCTNCAAAAGAAATTGGGGGAAGCAAAGAACACAATATCATGCCGTTTCCGATTTTAACTCCCTCAGTCAGACGATCAAAGACTCAAAGAATGTCAATAGTTTTAAACGTGATGTTTTTAAGTTTTTAATATAGTTACTAAAGTTTAATTTTTATTTATACTTATTTTTAATTTTTTATGCATTTTTTGTAGCCTTTTGATCCCTTTGAAATTTTATTGCTTTTTTGTTTCTACTATATATATCTAGTTTCGAGGTCCTTTTTGAAAACCATATTTGTTATGAAAAAGTTTCCTCAATAAAGATGATTATTGTAGTTCTTGTGAAACAGTCGTGTGTCATTTCTTTGTAAACAGGAGCGGCTTGTTAAAGCAAAACGTAAACCGATATCTAAATTTAAAATAGTTTTTGTTCATTAAGCACTGATCACCTTGCAAAGCTGCACTCGGCGACAGGCGCTTTGTTTATCGCAACCAGACTTCCCCTTCCAAGTACCTTGCTGTGTCCAGTCCATTTTCGGCTTGGGTGACGCGCTGTCTCTAATGGCATGTGCGTTACATGGACAACGCGCCAAAAAGTAGTTCGCCGGTTTCTGTTGTTGTTTGGTTAAAATCCCTTTCTATTTTGCCCAGGATAACTACTGATACAATAGATGAGCACTAAAAGGCTGTGCCAAGAAAGATGTTGGCGAGAAAGGTTATAAATTCTTCGTCGGATCTTACATCCATGATGTTCATTTTACAAAAAAAAAAAGCTGGATCTTCAAGTACCAAAGTAAAGGCGCGATGCCACAGAAGCCCCAAAAAGAATGAGTCTCCTCATTCAATCGAGTTTGAAGTCAGGCCTGACGAGACTAAAGCTAAAATAATCCAATCTGAATGTGCGTGCAAATCAGGGTAAGAGGGGAAACCACAAAAATTTATCTTTAAGTATTTTTGTCCTTTAGTTAGAGAGTATAACTCAATTTCAGTTCTAGTTTGAGGTTTTACTAAAAGCAGGCCGTCGGCCCGCGACGGCCCTGCGGCCTGGCAGCCCGAAGGCCCAGCGGCCCGCAACGGCCTGCGACCCAGAGGCCCAGTCCTGATTCTCCACAGTTTTTTTGTCCAGCAGTAAATCCAAGCGCATGCACAGATCTGCATCGGGTTTGGGCGTGCAAAATGGACGACAGTGAGTTTGAATTCGTTTTACCATTTAATCCTTTGAATCCTTGTTTCTGTTTGTTGCACGTTGTTCAGATAAAAACGTTTTCATTCTCTGTTCATTAGTGAAAGTATCATAACAATAAAGGAAAAGAAAATATGAACCAAGGGTAAAATTGAAACACAACACAAACAACTAAGTTGAATTTCATGATGGTGAGGTTTAATTTTTCACTTTTCGCCGTGATCGAAAAGTAATCCTTTTACACCCGATATAATGTACCGTATTTCTTCGCCCAACCTCGAATAAGGAGCTGCCTCCGAGATGTCCGACAGGGTAACGTCGGCAAATCGATCGGTCAACTGAGAAGCAGAGTTCGTTTCTTGACCTTAGTGACGATGAGATTGAAATTGAGTAAGTACCACTAAGAGACTTGCCCAAACACAGAGTTTCCTTAGTAACTTACAAAAACTTTCAATGAACAGTTAAAATTCTGTCACCTGCTAAAAATGGTGCAAATTTAAGAAGTGCCCAGCCTAGAATAAGGGCCCACCGCCCTTGAGGACCAAAAATTTAATAAGCGCCCTGGGGCCCGTTTCTCGAAAGTCCCGCTAACTTAACGGGCCCGTAAAGCTGTTCTGTTTTCATTCAAGATGGGAATTTCAAAAGTTTTGAAAATGATACAATAAAACTATCAGCTAAAGAAACAAAAAGGACTTGTTTGGATGTCATAACCTGCTTTCCCATCTTTTAAATTTTTATTTTAAAAGATGGCTCCGGGCCCGTTAAGTTACCGGGACTTTCGAGAAACGGGCCTTAGGGCACTTATCGTATTCGAATAAATACGGTACTTACATCGCCGGAAAGCAATGTTTGAGAACACGCTTTCCTTTAGGGGTGGAGTTCCTGTGAATAGATCGACAAGTCTCTATAGAAAAGGTTCGCAGTTTACATATCGCATTTTCACTTTCAAAGTATGGTTTGAAAATAACTTTCATCGTTCAATAATGAAAGTCCTCTATTGTGATATCGGTTTCTGTAGCTAGATTAATGAACAGAGAATCAAAACTATTTTATTTGAACAACATGCAACAAACAGAAACAAGGGTTCAAATGATTAAATGGTAAACGAATTCAAAGTCACTGTCGTCCGTTTTGCACGCCCAAACCCCATGCAGATCTGTGCAAGCACGTGGATTTACTGCTGGACAAAAAGAACTGCGGAAAATCGACAGGGATCCGGAAAATCAGGACTGGGCCTCCGGGTCGCGGGCTGCTGGGCCGCGGGTCTGCTTTCAGTAAAACCCTTCTAGTTTGAGGGATTCGTTGTTAAAATACATTGATTCTTCAGGGATGGAGTACATTGTAATTACATGTTTGGCGTTTTATTCACTTTGAATCACTGGTTTATGCTACAACTCACTGCGATACCAGCTGATAAGACTTGTTATCAGGCATGCTACAGTCCTGGCATGTACCTAGAGGCCAACAAATTCAGCCTGAACCACTTAAGAGCTGCACTTTTGCTTGTGCAGAAACAGATAAGAAACGCCAATGAAAGAAACTACCTGTTAAATGTAAGTTTTACGATGCTAGATTTGCTGAACTAGAAAAGGAAGGTTGGAGAAAAGAGGCTGTGTTCAATGAATGCACTCGGCTTGGCAATTAATCGAGAAAAAAAGCCTCCTGCATCTTACCTTTTGCTGGATCAAGAACCAAACCTTGTTACTGCTACTGTTGTTGGCAATGTCCCAGTTGGTTCGTATCTGGCATATCGACTTTTTGATGTAAACAAGGATGAAATACAATTCCCTTCTAGCAAAAATCAAGAAAACATCAGAAAAGAGGGTGAAGTATTAAAGCATATCAAATCATATCCTAGCTTACCACTAAGTCCAATCAATAGTGCACCCTTTATTCCTCCATATAACATTGCTCCAGATGAAGTCAGACTCGTATCATCTATTCAAATTCATCTAAGTGAGGCTCGGAAACTTTTCGATACAACTGTTGAACAGTCAACTGCTACTTCATGGTTTGAAGCTAGGAGGAAAAGCTAACAGCATCAAACTTCGGTTTGGCGCAGTATCGTAAAAAGCAACCAA